ACGAAAGTGGCTAGCTGAAGATCCCAAGATTCATCCTGCTACAAAGAGACTGAAGTCACTGGTGCCATACGTGTACGTGCACGCGCATGTGTAGTCAGGCCTCTTTATTGCATGGTGTGTGAGGGAATAGCTTTACCTTGGAAAGTAGCTATTAAGCATCATTTGGGTACAGTGTTTTCCTATTTGGCTTGTGGTGTCGGGGGGGTTAGAAGGGAGAAGTCTGACACAACAGAGAGTCATTCTTCTGCTCTCTTCCTGCTTGGACATCATAGAGCCAAATTTATGTAGAGGAGTTAAATCCACTTTGAGGTTGCCATTTAAGTGTTTGCCTCTGCTCTTGGGGTTATTCATGGCTGGAATCCCCTGAAAGCAGCCTGAGTGTAAAAGTGAGTTATATTGCTTTCGGTCTTAGTATTTGCTGTTCTCTTGATTCTCCAAACATATACCTGTTGTTAATGTTTATTACTTCCCATAGAGGTCTACAGTAAAGCTGATCTCTGTGTTTTATTATAACGTGTGCTTTTCATTGGTCCTTGCACTTACACTATTGCCAGGTGTGCCAGTTGGGGCTGAGACAGTTCTTGGGGTTGAGAGGCAGAGTGGCGGAGTGAACAAACTTAAGCAGCCCCTACGGGGGTATCGCTACAGTTATAATAGGAAAGTATCGTGAATTTGACATCTTGAAATTTACCCTGCAATAGCAATAGCAATAGTGGCCACTTGGATCAGCAATTTGCTTGACACAGTCAAAGTGGAGTTTTTCCTAAATGATATTAATCTGAACCCCACCAAAGTCAATGGGAGCTGTATGTTTAAAATCAGCCTGTTCATTTTCATGGCTAAGACGCAAGGGATTGCTAAGTGAATAGCATGGCTTGGTTGAGAGCACCAATTTTAATAATGCTTAAAAAGAAACATGCTCAATTTCTTCAAATAACATGCTTGGAGTTGCTCTAAACCTGCCTTTAACAGGTGTGGTGATGATCATGTTCAATATGACTGGTGTGGTGGTGATTAGGAACAATATGATTGGTGTGGTGGTGATTAGGAACAATATGATTGGTGTGGTGGTGATTAGGAACAATATGATTGGTGTGGTGGTGATTAGGGACAATATGACTGGTGTAGCAATGATCACGGACACGGGGACTGGTGTGTTGGTAATCAGGGACACTGTAACTGGTGTGGCAGTGATCAGGAGTGATCAGGAAAACAGTAACTGGTGTGGCGGTGATCAAGAACACTGTAGCTGGTGTGGCGGTGATCAGGGAAACAGTAACTGGTGTGGCGGTGATCAAGGACACTGTAGCTGGCATGGCAGTGATCAGGGAAACAGTAACTGGTGTGGCAGTGATCAGGAACACTGTAGCTGGTGTGGCGGTGATCATGGTTACTGATAATGTATAGAATCTACTACTGCAATAGTGACATTAAGCCCTGGTTCACACTGAATGTGGCTTTGAAATTGTGCTAATTCATTTGAAGTAGCGTGATTTCAAAGCTACTGGTCAGTGCCATTTCATGTCCAGCTTGCCTGATATCTGTGTGACTTCATGCACAGATCTCTACGCAAGTCACACATGAAATTGCAAAAAATAGTTCAGAAACCTTTTTTCACAATTGTTGTCGCACAGCAATGTCAAAGTCACATTGATTTGAACAGTTCCATAGGCACAAATAGGGTGTGACCTGCCATGCGATTTAACTGTCAAATCACATGACAAATCACTTTGGTATGAATGGGGGCTTACAAGGGATGCCATTTACATTAAATTGCTGGTAAAAGACTTTTTGTAGCCTGCTTAGTTTCCTTTGTAAAAAAAAACAGTATTAGGACCCCCCCCCTCACTTTTGCTTTATTACATCCCACAGCACAAATGACAAAAAAATAAAATGCGTGGGGTTTCCCCCTAAAAGGCATACCAGAACCTTATTTGTGAGGAGCATCTGGTTTGGTTTTAAAGGAGGACCACAGGCAATAAGAAAAAAAAAAAAAACTCAGCATGGGCCCCCCTAAAATCCATACCAGGACAAAAGAATCTGGTATGAATTAAATGAGGTTAGCCATGCAAAAAGAAAAAAAAAAATATGTGGTTCCCCCCCCCTCCAAAATCCATAGCAATCCCCCATTTGAGCATGCATCCTGGCTGGCCAAAACAGGAAAGGGGGGCAGGGGAGTGGGATTCTTCCCCAAAACACTGGCCTGGTGGTTTTAGGGGACTGTGGGTGGGGCTTATTGGAACATGGAAACCCCCTTTAAAAATATGGGGGCCCTCACATACCGACACAATGTGCAAACAGTAATTAAACACACCACATATTTTTGACAAGTCCTGTAAAAAAAAATGTACAATAATGTAAATCCATCATCATTCACATTGCTCAGTGATGTAGATTATTGTCAACCATGATGAAGGATGTCCACTTACCGCAAAGAGGCAGAGGTGGCTGGGCAAGTGTCACTGTCAGGGGTCAGGCTCAGGGACCAGTAGCTATAGTATTAGAGAGGCTTCCACCAACCAGCTGAATAAGTACACAAGCAGGTCACCCTGGAGAATGACATGGGCTCAGGGTGAGGACTAAGCACTAACTACTATTCACCAGAGCTCTTGATGGTGGAGATGAGTTTTGTTGCAAGTTGGTGCCAGGTTGCGGTCCTCAGGATCGTCTCACCAGTAGGTGAGCAAACCAGGGTCCAGTAGTAGATATAGCAAGCAGGTGAGTAGTCAGCAAACAAGCCAGGTCAGTAACAAGTGATTTCAGGTTGGCATCACTTTGAAGCGTAGTCAAGGTACAAGCCAGAGGTCGATAATGAATAGTTGCAGGTTGGGATCAAGCAGAAGCATGGTCAAGAAAGAAACCAAAGGTCAGTAACAAATGGTAGCTGGAGATAAAGTCAAATGCAGGTACACAAAGAAGCAAAATATCAGTTAAAGAGAGCCCAATAATCAGGCAAACAGGAAGAGCAGAGACATGGCTTAAATCAGGACGCTTATGGGCGGAGCAAAAAGGTCAAGGTTCACCAGCAACAAAAGACAAGGAAAGATTGTTCCAAAAGATCAGGCAGGATCAGACAAGATCTCAGGTGACACGCAGAGTTTGCAGGTTCAGATCCTTGTCCTGACAGCATGTGATTTGCAGTTCCCCACTTGCAGGAGCCCAATAGCCACTGTGTGTGTGTCCATTTTGGGAGCTTGTGAGCCACGTGAAATTAGTCACACCTGTATGAGAGATTAAATGCTACATTTTGTTGGGGATATATGAATAATGAATGCTTATAAAAGCTGTGAGATATAGAGAAGTCAGAAAGGTAAATAGTCAGAGGAGGAGATGTAGAGTGAAGTAGTGGGGGGGGGGGGATATGGGATAACAAAAAAAAAAAGGGGGGGGAGGTGGAGAATGGGTAATGTCAGGGCTCCAGGGTATGACCAGAGGTATGTGAACTGACGCAGGGAAACGCAGGCTTCAGATATGTTATAAACAATATAATTTATTACCACTAACAATACATAAACGCAGTGCAATACTAAAACATAACACAGTACAAATGAACCAAACCACCCACAGATAACAATACATACAATGCAAGCGTCGTCAGGCAGGCCGGGTCAATAACAATCGGGCAGGTAGGAACAGGAGGAGAAGGCAGAGAGTAGTCAGGTCACGAGCCGGGTACAGCAACTAACGGGCAGGTAGGTACAGGGGGTCAGGCAGAGAATGGTCGGGGTCACAAGCCAGGGATCAAACAGGAGAAGTCAGCAGAGGTCCGGATCAGGCAGGGTCGGCAATGAATCAGTCAGACAGGAACAGGAACAGGGATGCAGGTAACAAGATACAGGGGCCCATAGAAAAACACACACCAAGGCACAGACTGCAGGTCTGGCCATCCCTTAAATACACCTGTAATCAGCCTCAGGTGTCTTGGCTGACTGCAGGGTTGAGTCTCTGATTGCTGAAAGCACCCGCTGGCCAGCCCTGGTACTGCAGCCCACAAGGCAGGTGAGTCCCACCATTATTGGCAAGTCCATTCCTGACAGTACCCCCCCCCAAGGAGCAGCCTCAGGACGCTCCAAACAGTCCTAGCTGGGCAAAATGTTCCACCGCCCGGGTCTGGTAACTGGCGGGATATCAAAGACTGGCACATCGGGCTGGACTCCAGGCAGCAGCACATCGGGCTGGACTGGGCACTCCATCGGGGAACTCCGGGCGCGACACATCGGGCTGGACTCCGGGCAGCGACACATCGGGCTGGACTCCGGGCAGCGGCACATCGGGCTGGACTCCGGGCAGCGGCACATCGGGCTGGACTCCGGGCAGAGGCACATCGGGCTGGACTCCGGGCAGAGGCACAGGGCCCCCAGGAGGAGCGGCAGACACAGGGCCCCCAGGCGGGGCGGGAGGCACCGGGCCCCCAGGCGGAGCGACGGGCACCGGGCCCCCGGGCGGAGCGGCGGGCGCCGGGCCCCCGGGCGGGGCAGCGGGCACCGGGCCCCCGGGCGGGGAGGTGGGCCCCCGGGCAGAGCGGCGGGCGCCGGGCCCCCAGGCGGAGCGGCGGGCACCGGGCCCCCAGGCGGAGCGGCGGCGGGCGCCGGACCCCCAGGAGGGGCGGCGGGCGCCGGGCCCCCAGGCGGAGCGGCGGGCACCGAGTCATCAGGCGACAGCGGGGCATCGGGTCACCAGGCATCAGGTCATTTGGCTCGCCAGCGCGGGCACCGCGTCATCTGGCAAGGCAGTGGGCACCGAGTCACCAGGCACGACAGTGGGTTCCGAGTCAACTGGCATGACCGCGGGCACTGGGTCAGACATTGGATCGTCTGGCTCGACAGCGGGCATCGGGTCACCAGGCATCAGGTCATTTGGCACGACAGCGGGCACCACGTCATCTGGCAAGGCAGTGGGGCACCAAGTCACCAGGCACGACAGTGGGCTCTGAGTCAATTGGCACAACAGCAGGCACCGGGTCATCAGGTACCGGATTGTCTGGCTCGACAGCAGGCACCGGGTTATCTGGCGCTGGATCGTCTGGCTCGACAGCGGGCATCGGGTCCACCAGGCATGACAGCGGGCACTGGGTCATCGGACATTGGATTGTCTGGCTCGACAGCGGGCATCGGGTCACCACAGGTATGACAGCGGGCACTGGGTCACCAGGCATCAGGTCATTTGGCTCGCCAGCGGGCACCGCGTCATCTGGCACGGCAGTGGGCACTGAGCCACCAGGCATGACAGTGGGCTCCGGGTCAACTGGCATGACCGCGGGCACTGGGTCAGACATTGGATCGTCTGGCTCGACAGCGGGCATCGGGTCACCAGGCATCAGGTCATTTGGCTCGACAGCGGGCACCGCGTCATCTGGCAAGGCAGTGGGCACCGAGTCACCAGGCACGACTGTGGGCTCTGAAGTCAATTGGCACGACAGCGGGCACCGGTCATCAGGTACTGGATCGTCTGGCTCGACAGCGGGCATCGGGTCACCAGGCATGACAGCGGGGACTGGGTCATCAGACATTGGATCGTCTGGCTCGACAGCAGGCATCGGGTCACCAGGCATGACAGCGGGAACCGGGTGGCTCTGATCAATTGGCACCGGATCGACAGCGGGCACCGGGTCATCTGGCGTTAGATCGTCTGGCTCGACAGCGGGCATCGGGTCACCAGGACATGACAGCGGGCACTGGGTCATCAGGCATTGGATCGTCTGGCTCGACAGCGGGCATCGGGTCACCAGGCATCGGTCATTTGGCTCGACAGCGGGCACGGGTCATCATGGTTACCAGATCGTCTGGGATCGAGACAGCGTGGCACGGGTGGGGGCGTTGAGATCAATCTGGCACGACAGCGGGCACCGGGTCATCCAGGCATGACCGGATCGTCTGGCTTGACAGCAGGTCACAGGGTCATTGGCGCTGGATCGTCTGGCTCGACAGCGGGCATCGGGTCACCAGGTATGACAGCGGGCACTGGGTCATCAGGCGTGATAGGATCATCAGGCTGGATCAGTTCATCAGGCTGGGTACAGACATGAGGTGGGTAGAGGACATCAGGCTGAAGTGCGGGGTGCCGAGGCACAGGCTGAACCACGGAAGGGCAGGTTCTCAGACGGCAGGCTCACTGGTTTGGATACTGGCAGGATGGTACTGGTTGGAAAGAATTTTCGCTTTTTCTGGTTTTAACTACTGGAGCACTGCAAGTAAACGCAGGTCTGCAAACGATGGAGCAGCTGAGGACAGAGAAGAGCTGGAAGATGGAAAACAGAGGAGGGAACAGTTGCTACAGAGGACTTCTTTACAGGGTTAAAGAAAGGATAGGTGCAGCGAGTGGGGAGCAGAGGGACTGGTATGTGGTAGTTAGCAGAGTATACTGGGCCATCACTGGGGGTGCTGTCGGGGATGCAGGAAGAGTGCCTTGAGCGGAGGAATGACGTTGTAAGCTGACTGAGGCTGGGTGCAACAAGTCTGATCATGTCTGCAGTATGGGTTGAACAAAGCTCAGCTTACACAAAGCCTGTCTGGTCAAAGACTGCACTGTGTTTATACAATCCCTTAATACCTGTGGTGAACATGCAGCATAATGCTCCAAGAAGCAATCCACATCATCCTCTAAATAACCATACCAGGGACTCTACCTGGTCTGCACTAAATGGTGGCAAAAAGTCATTCCTGCTTTCAGGGGTACCAGATGAAGCCAACTCTACACAAACCTGAATCAAAGGTTGCACCTCAGAGAACTCTGTGCCCTGATATACTAGAACATGAGCGATCCGTATACATTCTAGCAGTTGATCCCGGGTATACTCCCTCAGAGTCTGATAAGCATATTCTCTGTCATCAAAAACAGCAGCGACAAATACACAACCTCATCAAGATCCATCCTTCCCAGCAACAAGCCAAGATGGCTTCCCTGTGTAAGCCACTTCTGGTCAGGATTGGCCTTGGTGTAATGTCAGGCATGCGGGTGTGACCAGAAGTGTGTGGAATGTACACAGGGAAACGCCAAGCTTCAGATAAGGTATAAATAAGACAATTTATTAAAGGACTACAATACAAACATAAACACAGTGCACATGAACCAAACCAAACCACCCACAGATAACAATACATACAGTGCAAAACGTAGTCAGGCCGGCCGGGTCAATAACAATCGGGCAGGTAGGAACAGAAGGATCAGGCAGAGAGTAGTCAGGTCACGAGCCGGGTACAGCAACTAACGGGCAGGTAGGTACAGGGGGTCAGGCAGAGAATGGTCGGGGTCACAAGCCAGGGATCAAACAGGAGGAAGTCAGCAGAGGTCTGGATCAGGCAGGGTCAGTAACAAATCAGGCAGGAACAGGATACAAGGGCCCATGGAAAAACTCGCACAACACACAAGGCCCTGAGACTGCAGATCTGGCCATCCCTTAAATACACCTCCGTAATCAGCTTCAGGTTTGTTTTGGCATGACTGCAGGGTTGAGTCTCTGATTGCTGAGAGACACCGGCCTATAAGGCCAGCCTGGTACTGCAGCCCACAAGGCAGGTGAATCCCACATTACTGGCAAGTCCATTCCCTGACAGTTGGCTTCCTTCATCATCTAGTTGTTGAAGTCCACCCTCCATGTTAAGGTTAATGTCATGGGACACAGAGGGTCTTCTCAACAACATCAGCTGCCGTGGCAATTTGGTATGGTCGTGTCTGCATGAATGGAAGACAGGATGAAAACATCCCGTTTGTCCTTCCACTTCATTGTGAACAATTCATAATTTCTCAAACAGGCATTTTCCCGCTTTCTAAGATGGGGTATTTACAAGCCATTGTAGGAAGCCCCAGTGATTAGATCATACGGTGACGCATGTGCCAATTCGAGATTGTACAAATGTCTAAATAGTAGCACACTTGAATAAAAATTGTCCATGTTTAAGTGGTACCCCATATGGAAAAAGGGTGACATCAAGTCCCAAACTATTTTGCCACTGCTCCCTGTGTAGTCTGGGCATCTGGGGGGGGCTACACATGACTATCTTTTTCCCTCGTAAATCTGAAACTTATATATTAAAGCCTGTTGCCCTCTCACGGGTCTTATACATCTTAACCCCATATCTGGCACGCTTGCTGGAGAGAAATTGTTTGAATGTAAGACTGCCAAAAAAACTAATGAGGGACTCATCAACATGTTTTGCTGTGGATTATAGTCAACTGCAAATTTTTGGTTAAGGTGATTTATGAGGGGCCGAATTTTGTGGAGCAGGTCAAATTCAGGGTCACCCCAAGGATAAAGAGTGTATTGTTGTTGAAATGCATAAAATGCATTATATTCTCATATCTATGCCTGGCCATGGCAGCAGAGAACATGGGCCTATGATGAATCGGATCTGTGGACCAATACAACCGCAATTACTTTTTTTTTAGTAATTCCCATGCTAAGGGTTAGCCCAAAAAAACTTTAAATTCGGAAACTGTAATAGATTTTGATGGAAATGGTCTGGCAAGGTTTGAATTTGGGTTGGCTGTGATAAACTGTTGTGCATATAAATTGCTTTGATCCACAATCAATGCATACAGATCTTCTGTGAAAAACAGCTCCAAAAAATCAAGGGGAGTAGTTACATTTTCTGTTTCCACCTGAATTCCGGGTTGGGCAGTGAATGAGGAAAGTACGAGTGCTGCAGAATTTGTGGGTTGCAATCAGGATTTGCAAGCACATCTGGAAGGACATTATGGGCTTTACGGGCAGTGTGCAAATTATTGGTGGCTGTGGGACACTGCTTGTGCTCACCACTGCACCTGCTTGTACTGCACTTATGGGACTCACCACGTCACCTAGTGATACTGCAGTGCTGGTATGTGAAAGACCAGGATGTACTAGGCCACTGGTGCTCACCAGTAAACCAAAAGGCAGAGCGGCACTAGTACTGGCAACCTGGGAAAGGGGTCGGGTATGCCTGACCTTAGCAGGGACCTCTTCTCCATTGTCTGAGCTATCTGTCAGGGTGCCACTGCTGTCTACAGGTTCGGATTCTGAGGCAGATTCTGTCAGTGAGGCTTCCCCTTTCCTCTCATCTGACATGCTCAGAATCCTGTAGGCCTCTTCACTAGAGTACCTTTCGTTGGACATTGTGGCCACTAAATGTATAGGTACCTAGTGCGACTCACAGGAAAAGGAGCACCTGGCTGTCTGGGACTACTTGAACCGCTAAAAACAAATTTATCTGCAAGTGCTAACAGAGATCAGGCCTGATTCTGCGAACACTGCGGTTTTGTGTGCAATATATTAAGTGACCATGATCTACTGACACTACACTTGCTTGGGTAGGGGGGAGGGGTAAGCATAGGGGCTAAAAGCAGATTCTGGCAGGTGCCAGGGCTGATCCTGCTAACGTTGAATTTTTGGGGACACTATACTAATGTGAACGCTGGTATAGTGCTGATCTGGTCAAAGATATTGATCCATTCAGACATTATACTAGCAATGGAGGTTTATTGTGTATGTGAACATGTTCCTGGCAATCAAGGGGTTAAATGTGATGACTGATGTAGTGACAGGCAATCTGACGCTATCTGGGAGGGACGCTAACTGATGCTGATGCTAACGCTATCACTGGTGACACTAATACAGTAAAAAAATGACACTGGTGACAGGGCAGTGAAGGGGGTTAAATGTGTCCTAAATGTGTTTTTACTGTGTGTGTATAGTGCTTTTACTCACGTGTGTAATGTTCCCAGATAGAGAAGATTTCATCATTTCCTGTACCTGTGTAAATGTAAACACAGGTACAGGATGATGTCTGACAGGCCAGGGATCAATCATCCAATTCAGGCCGAACATCACTGGCCTAAATCGGATGATTGATCCCTTGGGCTCCGAATCATGGCAGCGAGGGTCAGCGGGTGCATGCGCACCCCCGGCCCTCGATCACAAATCACGTATATATGTGTGATTTTGCGCACCTGTGCCGCCTTGTAGCAGTATTTCTGCCATAGGGCGGATGGGAAGCAGTTAATTTAAACAGTTTGGGACTACTTAGCAACTAGCAACTGTTGAGACATATAACATCTTAGTCTTTGTCTGAGTGAAGATCTATGTTTGTCCCAAGCATGTTTGAATCATCTGTCCACAGCACATTTTCCCAAAAGGATTTTGGCTCCCTGTGGTAAGTTTTGTCATACTCCAATCTGACTTTTTATGTTTCTGTGTCAGCAGTGGGGTCCTCCTGGGTCTCCTACCATAGCATCCCTTTTCATTGAGATGGCAACGTACAGTGCGAGCTGACACAGTTGTACGCTGTGCCTGAAGGTGAGCTTGAATCTGTCTGGAAATCGATCGAGGTTCTTTATCCACCATTCGAACAATCCTTAGATCAATTTTTGATCAGTTTTTCTCTTTCCTCCACATCCAGGGAGATTAGCTACAGTACCATGGGCTGTAAATTTCTTGACAATGTTGTGCACAGTGGACACAGGAACATTAAGATCTCTGGAGATGGACTTGTAACCTTGAGATTGTCCATGCTTTTCCACAATTTCTGTTCTCAAATCCTCAGACAATTCTTTACTGCTCTTTCTCTTCTCCATGCGGCACACAGACTCACTACAGAAAGGTTGAGTCATTTTTTCACCATTTTAACTGGTTGCTGGTATTGTTTCTGTATTGCTAGCGCCTGTTAACTGATACAGATGAGTTTAATTACAATTTACAGGAGCACCACAAACTTGGAATGCAATTTCTTACAATTTTAAGAAGGTGCAAATAATGTTGTCCAATCCATTTTTGGGGTTTTGCTTAGAATGTGTTAGATTTGGCTTTTTGTTTCTAAACGTTTTTGTATCATACCAACACAAATAAAAGAAATAAACATGAGAATATCTAAACATTTGTAATCTGGGCGAAGTGGTGCATTATCTTACAGAAATGCAGGAGTACCAATATTTTGGGCCATGACTGTAGTCAAATAATTCAATCAGATTAGGCTGACATGATCTGCCCTCAGTAAAGTTATGTTGCTTCGGGTCCAGCAAGTTGTGTGCTTTTAACCACTTCAATACAAGGCACTTCCACCCCCTTCCTCCCCAGGTCAATTTTCAGCTGCCAGCTCTGTCGCACTTTGAATGACAATTGCACAGCTACGCAACACTGTATCCATAAACATTTTGTATTATATTTCTACACAAATAGAGCTTTTTTGGATGGTATTCAGTCACCACTGGCTATTTTAAATTGCTTCATAAATAAATAATTCACCGATCACCAATATCTTGTGAGAATAAAAATGACAAAAGTGACCATATCTTCTTGAAAATGATCCAGATATGCTCCACCACATGATCAGCTGAACTGCCAACACACCAAATCAAA